TCACAGGTTGAATGAGTATTGACGGGTCAAAGGAGACTTCATCTCCCATGATAGCCAAAGCATCGGAAAGAGGACCTGTTTGAATGTTAGGCTTCTTGCCCCTGGAGGGACAGGAAGTTGATTAGCATCAATTAGGTCTTGGATTGCATCCTTCAACCTCCAACACTTCTTAGTATTATGACCCTTTCCTTGATGAAACTTGCAATAAGCATTGGGGTCATAGCTAGCGGTCCTATTCTCTGGTCGAGGTTCTGGAAATGGTCCAATTGGCATAGTCAGTCCTTGACCATGCAAATGGTCAAAAACAGCATCATAAGTCATTCTCAAAGGTGTGTAAACTCTCCTTTTCCTTTGGAATCTTTGAGGAGGAGCATTAAGGGCCAACACATCATTAATATTGATATTGTTGGTAGCATTGTTGGGCTTGGAAGACGAAGAAGACGGAGTGTCGTTCTTCTTGTTTTTCCAAGTGCTGTTATTATTATTGCTAACAACAGTCTTCATTAGTTCGTCCTCGATATTAGTTCCAATATCGTATACAGCTTCAAAGGTACTCAGAGGCAGAAACTTTAGGTGTTGCTTGTACTTATGAGTCAGATTGGCAATGAATAAGTGAACCATCTCTTTTTCCTTGGGGGGATCCACCAAGAGCGCAGCTGTTTCCTTCCACCTGCTTAAGTAAGTGGTGAAGCCTTCATTCTCTTTCTGTTTAAGAATGGAGAGTTCACGTTCAGAATTTTTGGCCTGGATGTTACACTTGTAACGATTCATAAAGCTTTCAGCAACATCCTCCCAGGTCGTGACATGTTTGGATTCCAAAGAGTAGAACCACTGTTGACAGGCATGCTCCAAGGAAAGAGGGAAACTGTAGGGAAGAGTGTCACATCTACTCCCTTAAGAGCCATGGTTGCAGAAAAAGCCTTCAAATGGAAAAACGGATTATCAGTAGGCTTGAATTTGGGAATGTCAGCAGTGGAAAACTTCTCAGGAAGCTTGTCCCTTATGGACGAAAAGGTGACAGGTTGTTCCACATAAGTGAATTCTTCAGAAATCTTACTCATCTGTTCCTTAATCTTGTCCATTGCAGCGGTAGTGACATTGTTTTGATTGTCTTGCTCTACCGTGTAGACTCTAGTGGTGAGTGTTTGCATCATGTTAGACAACATTTCAGTTGTCTTCTTGATGTTCTCGATGTCTTCCTTAGTAGCCATTAGTTGAAAGTAGACTGGAGATGGATCTTGTGGAGATGATTGTGGTGGTTTCCTTGTACGCCTCTTTGGTATAAGAGGTTGTTGAGGTATTGACTCGAACCGTAACAGTCTACCCCTGCTTCTTGACCAAGTGTTGTGACACCGAAACAAACACACCTTTAATGACCAAACTTAACCTTAACCCATCCGGATATAAAAAAAAATGAATTTTAAAAATTTATAATTTTGAAATTCTATTTGTTTATTATTTTTTTTTTAAATATGGGAGGATACTATCCGACTTACTCCGAAAAAAACGACACAAAAAAGAGACTACCCTAAAATACGGTCAAAAAGTGGTGCACGACTAAAGAAAAAAAGTGTGTGAACACGATATGTGAGTGATTAAGTGAGGTTATGGACGTGTGTTTTGACCGTACAGCTAGACATGACACCAAACTGGACGCACAAAAACCGAAAAAGGACTAACGGGACACATTTCCTGGGCACCGTGTCACGGTGCTGACTGTCGTGACACGGTGCAGTCTACCGTCAGACGGTAGAAAGCCCCGTGTCACGGAAGTGTTCACCGTGGCGCAACAGAACATGTCGTGACACGGTGCGCAGTTCCAGGTCTGTTTTGTGATTATTTCAGACTTTAATTGATTTTAGGTCCATACTAATTACTATGTGGAAATAAAAACCCTCGGTCATGGGTTAAAAAAAGAGTAAACGCATGAAAGTTAGCACCAAACAACCATATAGCACTTAGTCACGATGATGTAAAAAAAAAGTTCGCAACCTAGAGTCGAGATCTATGTTCAACTATTGGTCAAGCTTTGGGTGTCAAAAGGGTACCATGGTTAAGAGCTTGGACGCGTTAGCAAGGCAGCCTCCCTTGACGGTGTATGCCAACGGGCGGCTCCGCGAGTTCGTGATGAAATCGAACTCGACTCCATGGTTTGGGTGGATTTAATAACTCGGATGAACCCTTATTTCCATGAGCGTTTTTGGATTGATAGAGCTTAAATCCCCCAGGGCTAAGACGCATGTAGAACACACACGTTTTTTTAGAAAAATCGAAGGAAGTTGATTGTGAGAAGATAAAACAAGCCACTAGACTGATTTAAGGACTGCCGTGACACGGCAAAAATTCCCGTGCCACGGTACTGTGCACCGTCAGACGGTGAACTGTACCGTGACACGGCAGATTTTGCCGTGGCACGACAGTCAGAAAATCTGAATGGTGCCCAGTTTTCCTTCGTACGCAATCAAGTTATTCAATTTTTCCTGCGGGATAGACCTAAATGCGACGTTGAAACGTCTATGCATATGCAAAAAATGCCAAATTAATCACATGAATATTTTTCAAGAATCTTTCAAGTCTCATCCACTCATCTTAATTAAATATCAATCACTCAAATCGATAAATAACCAAGAATCCTCCCCAGTGGAGTCGCCAAATTGTAGGCGTCGCTCGAAGTGCGCCTACGTTAAAAGCATGTGTGAATATGCTTGGCACTCATAGGAAGTGGGAATTGACGTATATGATTAGGGACAAAAAAAGTAGGGAGTCGCCAACAAATTTTTAAGGAACTTGTAAACCGTTCACGGATCATAAAAAGGCAACCAAGAATAAAGGACAATGATAGGTAAAAACGAATGACCCGTGAAGGTTACACCCCATTCATAATCCATGATATTACTAACTCAATATGGTTCGGAACCACGAAAGGAGGATCGGGGATGATGGTACGAAGTGAGTCATGGAGTCACATTCGCCCTTATTGACCTCTACTCGATTCTTATAGTGAAAAGTTATTCCTGCGACCTCAAAGGAATACAAACAAAATATCAATTTGCTCCAAACTATTATTAAGCTAAATCGGTTGAATATTAATGCAACATATAATTCTAAAAAATTGTGTTCACTTGATTTAATAACAAGATTAAAAAGGAACCTAAACCGGTAGTCTAAATTATCTTATTAGGCGTGATTTTAAATTACATATTCCCTTTAAACATGCAATATAGTGATCATAAAAATAATAGAATAAACATTAATATTGGAAGCAATTTAACAATAATTCCAACAATATAAAATCGTTAGAAAAATAATTGAAATAAAAGGAACATAATTCTTACTTTGATTCTGTTTGTTTGCAACTATAAAATAATAAACGAGTTAGTAACTTCAAGGAAATAATAATAAAACAATAATTAAATTAAATTAAATAGAATAGAGTTGATTTGGGGCCAAACCCTCAAACAGTTCTACCTTTCACACCTTAGCTTAAGGACAGAACCACGAGTAAAGTATGGACTCCTTGGAGTGCTTGAAGAAGGAATTTTGAAATAAGAAGGGTAGGCTAGTGTTTAGGCTAGAGCATAGAAGAGAGAAAAAACTAGAGTATTAATTGGTGCCCCGTAGATCAGAAATGAGGGGGTATTTATAGAGAAAATGTGTTGAGGGAGCACACGAAACCCTAAAATGATAAAATCCATAAAAAAATATCCCGCGACACGGCAAACTGTACCGTGACACGGGAAGTCCCACCGTGAGACGGTAAACATTCCCGTGACACGTTGTAATTTTAGAGTGACGCAGGAAATTTTTAGTAAACGGGGAAGAAAACGCGTTAAGGGTTTACGCGGAATGGACACAGAAATTCCCGTGTCACAGCAGGTTTCCCGTGTCATGGGAAATCCCACGCTCAGACGGGAATGATTCCCGTGACACGGTGGATTCCTGCCGTGGCGCGGGAATTTTCAGCTCGCTTTTCCGTCTAAATACATTTTTAACCCTAATTTTGTTCAGCATTTTAAGTGCCAATTGATAATTTCGGGCCTTTTTCTGATTTATTATTATTTGGGCTAAAATAAGAAAATCAGCAAATAAAATAAATAAAAAGTTTGGGCCAAAACTAAATAATAAAACAATAAAATAAAAAAGGTTTGGGCTGAAATTCAATAATAAATTTGGGCTGAAATTAAAACTATGTTTTTACCAAACATCAAGACTAATCCATGGACTGTTCAAAAATACGAATTTAATCAAATACGATTTTTTAAGCACTCTCGGGATTAACTACTAAACTCGACCAATAGTAGCGGTGAAAGGTTGTTCATCATCGGGTTTGATTTTGGGGAGACATTTTTAGGTGTCTAAACTAAGGAGGGGAAAGTTGCATACAAGCTATCTTTACCAGCTGATGCACAGGTGCATGATGTTTTTCATGTTTCTCAGTTTAAGAAATTTCATGGAACTTTGCCTATAGCTGCACATATTCCACCATGGTTTCAAGGACTACATGAGTCCGTGCTCCCTAAACCAGCTGCTATTTTGGCTACAAGGATGGTGAAGCATCAGAATCAAGCCGTCATTCAGTATTTGGTTCATTGGGATGGCTTTCTTGATCATGAGGCTACTTGGGAGTTTGCTACTGAATTTGAACGCAGATACCCAGATTTTATGTTGCCTGAGTCTTGAGGACAAGTCTCTTTTTGATGGGGGAAAGTATGTTAAGGGCAAAATAGTCTTTTCATATTTGTTTGTTATAACTAACTTCTGTTTTAGTTGTTAGTAGCTACTCCCTCCGTTTTAAAATACTTGCTTATTTCTCTTGGACAAGCATGCCGATGCTAATTTTTTATCACTAATATCTTTTATTGTCAATAGGTATAACTTCTAATAATTGAAAATTAATAATCTATTTATTGAGATGATTTCAACAAGTACCCATACGACTATATTTTTTCTTATGTATAAATCACAAACATTAGTCAAAAGGATAAATGAATAGTGCGAAAAATAGAAATGGAGGAAGTATTTAAAAACGGAGTGAGTAGTTAGCTGAATATGAACGATTAGCAAACTATATAAGCTAATCTTGTTCTTTCTATTTCAATCAATCAAGTTTTGGAATAGAATCCTCTTTCTCTCTAGAATTCTTTCTTCTTTTCTCTCTCTCTCTCTGTTTCTCTCAAATTCTCTGTTTTCTGTTAGTCAACACAGTTGACAAAATATAGGATGATCATGTTTTAATTTATGGATTTGTTTATTTTTAGGGTTTAATTGAGGAATTATGTTAGTTAGGATCTTTTAATTGTTGTTGAGTTCTTTAATTTGTTGATTTTCAGACATAGAGAAATCAAACCTGACAGGTTGTTTAGCATGAATGGCGATCTCGTCAATTCCTCATAGCTGCTACAATGTAAGCTAAGTTTGTTTGATTTTGCAAATCTATTTACGCATGCAACTTTTCACAGAAGCAAAATTTGAGTTTCCATATTGCTTCTTACAAGTGATGTGTAATTGTGTATAGCGACAATAGCCCTTTATCATAGTTGATGAAGACTGGTTCTTTTAAGACTCGATTTTAATTGAATTATATAGTTTTGGGAATTGTATGATTTCTGAGTTGGATTTTGGTCTGAAAATGATACGTTTGTGTATAAAGGATGAGTTGATTAGCTTCCCTAATATTTACTTTGCTGGTATTTTACTTTTATTTGTTCAATTTCTTCCCAAATTCAATTAGTTTTGGGCACTAGAGATGTGCTTACAATTGTTTCAGTGGCCATTTAGTAGTTGCCTATTTATATTTATTTCTTGTATGATTGAAATTGTTTGAATGGTTTGATTGTGAATTTGATTATTGTTTATGCTATTTATATGATTAAGAGTGTGAATGATTTGAAGGGGCAATGGGATTACAGTGTGATTTGGGGTTATTAACTTTGCATTTTCCAAACTCAAATTTCTACTTCTTAAGGACCATTTTTTTGTAGACCTCCAAGAGGTGGCCTTGACAACTAGTGGCATGTACTTCACCATGGCTTACTTATTTTCATGTTCTCGTACTGTTGGACTTTTATTAAAGAAATCCACTCAGATTTTTGGATTGTTATAAGCTCATCTTTTGCTTTGGCTTATAACTATTTGATTATTTTACCTTGTATTATTAGTTCTATTATTTTTATAATATGCAAGGGTATTTTGAATTGCTGGTTTTGATTATGAGTTATTTCAATTACATGTTCTTAAAACTTGCTAATGATAATGCATACAAAGTATCTGTTTTTGTGTAGTCTCCATGATACTTTCCTATGAGTAGCTTATCCATACATATTTGATACTACCTAATTCATCAAATTACAGTATTGCTTAATGTTGTTTTTATTTGTAAAGCTCATTAGTTCTGTAAGAAAGTGAAATTTGAGAGGTGGAGTTAATGTCCATCTTATTGGTAAATATCTTTGCTTTCCCCTTTTATATTTCTAAATTGTGGTATTATGTAATACTTTGTCGAGAGCTTCTTGCCTTTGCCTTCCCTTTATATATGCTTGGAAACTACCTAATTCATCATTATCTTTGACATTCTTGATAAAGTTTCAATTAGAGGAATTGAATATAAAAAGTATTAGCATAATTATTGCCTTCTGGGAATTGCAAGATTAACACAGTAATTAGAGTAATTTCTTGTTCATGATACATGGTTTCATTTATCAACTGAAGGGCTGAAGGCTTCTTAGCATATGATGTGCGGGGATTAATATTTTATTACACTATTAAAACGTCATTTATTAGTCTCTTTGAAAATTGCATTGGCTCTTGTAGTCTGTAAAGACGAATATGAAATGATTGGTGATACTGCTGGTGAACCAGGTCTATTCTCATGACACCGAAATTTGGTTTGGATGATGATGGATCTACTTCAAACTTTGATGCCAAACTTGTTCTCGCAACAATGCTTACATCACAGCTGCATAAAAAAAAATCCAACTGCCCTGTTCCATTAGATGGAGCCTTGAACGAAAAGACTAATAATGAGACAGGACCAGAAGCTCAGCAAGAAAGATCAAGGGTACAAGCCTCTGCTCATGCATCTGAACATACTGAAAATCGTCTGACCTTTCAGGTATATGTGAATTTTTGTTTCTAAATGTGTGACTAATTAATTTTGTTTTTGAATAAAAATCCTTGTTGTTCCGGTGACCTCAATAAGTGGAAGTTTATGTGCATACTTCAACCTTACCTTGCCATGAAAGTAGAAAATGGAGATGGATTATATTGGATAAGTGTCATTAGAATACTATGATGATATGATCTCTATGAGAAATTCAGTGTGTCAAAGTTCAACAAGATACAAATAATTTTTAAGATTTAATGTAAGGCTTTTTAGTGTTAGTCACAAAAGCTTTTAAATTTTACCTAAAAATGTGTTTATCCTCTATTCTAAATTTTATCTTATCTTCCCCTTTAAACTTTGCTGCTCTCTTGTTGTATATGTATCATGTAGGCCTGTTGTATATCTTTTCTTGTGTACATTTTGATTCTTTTGTACTATCATAAGAAAGTGCAGGATCTTTTGAGTATTGCAATGCGTAGGGGAGGTGCTGATATCTAAAAGCAGTGACATTGGATTTCAACTACAGCCGGGGTCACCAAATGTCATATCCATATCCTTTGTGCTGATGCAAACAATTTGAATTGAAACAAGTCTACTATATCTCTTGATCATTCTCACCCAGATCTTCTCTGTGTTGTGCAAGGACAATAATTGATAATGCCAACCATGGGCTAAAGGAGGAGAATTATTATTGGCTTTGAACTTATTATTAAGGCAGTTCTTGCTAAAGTATTTGTCACATTAAACTATAAACTAACGTCAAAATTACATGTTTGGTGAATGAACATTTAGTTATAGTGATGTTTGAACTTGTAATTTTCCTTGCGATGGACGTAAAAGTCCCACATTGAAAGAAAATAGCAAGTATTGGCTTTTGGGATAACTAATCAACTTAAATTTAAATTCGTTATCAAAATTTGTTATACATTTTATTGTTTAGATAATGGTTAACAAAGCTTTTGGGATGACTACATATCAACTTAATTTAAGTAACTATATACATTTTATTGTACAGATATTAATTATTTAATAAGCATTATTGTTATGTTAATACTTTATTCAAGAAAAATGTTAATTAACTAATGAGTAATTGTAGACACTCAAATGTGTCTCCCCAAAACCAAACCCAGTGATGAATACCTTTCGTGTCGAATCATAATCGAACAAAGTGAGGGTGTGAAAAGTCTAATGTTGCAGTTAGCTTTTATAAAAAAATCTTTCTTTTTGTTTTCGAAAACCTACTCCATTTTATGAAAATAGCCAATCCAGTTTAGGTCTATGATAAGGGTCCAATAATAGTGTAGTTGAATTGGGTTCGAAAATAGCTTTCCAACGATATATTATAAGCCCAGTTTCGATGAATAATGAGGAAGTTATGGCCAAATTACTAAACTGGGCCCGGTTTGATCTTTATATGCGGCCCAATGATCTAGTGGAGGGCCTATTAAGATTTATCATTCCTAATGCAATTAGGATTGATTATAGTCTTCTAGAATCATCTAGAAAGTTCTTTTGAATCCTAATGTGATTAGCATTGATAATTGAGTTTTATGAGTTTTATTTAGAATAAAAGAAGTGTTTTAAATGAAATTACAGTTTTACCCCTCATAAGCTTAATTTTATCCAAAAAATGAAAACGTGTGAAAAAATTGCCTGCAGCGCCGCACCACTGACTGTCGCCTGGCGACAGAGGCATGTGCAGCGACAACGTCGGGTTTTATTCTTCTTGAAACTCCCATTCTTTTTATCATATTCTGGCTGATTTTCGTTACAAATAGCCTCCTTAAACCTCTGTTTTTAATTACCAGCTCTCATCAAGAAATTCTTGATAATCTCTCCCTCTTATTCTAAACCAACCTTTTCACAAACAAAATTTCGCATTCACAAGATCTAGACACACCTAGCATAATTTGAAGTTGCCTTCGCCCTAGTCGTGAAAGGTTCGATATTTCTGAGGGTTTGGTCCCAAATCTAGTCTAAACTTTCTCAAATCTCTATTTCAATTATTTAATTTAATTCTTTGATTTTATTATTTTCCTTGAAGTTACTAACGTGTGTATTTTGTTATTAGAAAGAGGTACGAGGCATCCAAGTAAGTACTTTAATTGTTTAATTGATATTATGATATAGAAATCATGTTTAGATTGTTATTTTGATTCCTAGTATCATGTTACGATGTTTTTTTGCTTCCTAGTATCATGTTTAGAGTAAAGAATATAATGTCAATTATGATTTCTATGATGCCTTCTACTTTCTTTCCTAATAGCATGTTAGTATCATGTTAGGGTTAAAGCTTTGATTTTTTTGATGTTTAGTGACATGCTAGGGTTTTTTATTAATCTTGTTAGTATCATGCCTAAGATCTTGCTGTTATTATGCTTTAGCGTTATTATGCTTAATTATTATTGTTATTATTATGTTGCTTGATTTATCATATTGTTATTGCTTGATCACGCCTTTTATGTATGTTTAAAGGGAATTGGTACTTGTAATCATGCTTAATAAGATAATTAATAATCTTGTTTAGGGTTAATATGATTATGATTCAAGTGATCGCCAATAGTTAATTTATTTGTACATTAATATTCAACCAACATAGATAAACATGTTTAGGGTAAACCTATTGATTGCATGTTAGTCAGAAAGCGTACATGAATACGAGAAGAATAAAGTAGAGGCCTATTATTAGGGCATGTTCTTTCTCTTTTAGGTTGAATTTGTACCTTCATCGCCGAACTTCCAGTCTTGGTTCCAGACCTATTGGAGTTAACGATATCCTAGATCGTTAAGGGGTGTAACGTTCACTCCGTGAACAGTTTACAAGTTCCTAAAACTTGTTGGCGACTCTTTTGCTCTAGCTTCCTTCCCTTTGGACGCCACCATGCTTAAGTGTATGATCACAGTGGGGTTCACGTTTGGGGTAATGCTTGAAATATTCCCTACAGTAACATTACTAACACTTCATAAAAAGTTTAAAGGAATAATGTTATTATTAAGGGTGCTAATTGAGTTGAGCATCTTCGTATTGACAAATCGGCTCGGTCAACGTTCGGTCAAATATCGACTCGAGCTGTTTCGTCTCGTCGTAACCTTAACAAGAATAGGTTGAGCAAGTTATAACTCGGCTCGATAAGCTCGTGATCACCTCCATAACTATTTTGATTAATTGTGAAAATAAAAAAGGCATAGTTAAAAAACAATTGGTACCTCTATAGATAGAAGCTATTACTTATGTTCACAACTAACACATTTTAAATTTAAGGTGAAATTAATTAAATGATGATGAAATATTTTTGTATAAGATAGATAAGAATGATTAAGATTGAACAAATGAAACAATGTAATGGGATAAAGGAGGAAGAAATAACTATTCATATAGGTAATTTTGTGTTGAGCAAAAAATCCCACATTGAAATAAAATAGAAAGTATTGACATGGAGAGCTTATAAAAGGAGAAACTTAGGGCCTGTTAACATTTACTTAATTTCAGTTAAGTTCAGCTCTAATCAGTTCAGTTCAGCCCCTAATTTTCCTCTCTCATAAAATATTCATTTCAGCTCAATTCAGTTCAATTTAGTTCAGTTCAGTTCAGTTTCGCTCCAATCAGTTCAGTTCAGCTCAATAAATGTGAACAGGCCCTTAGCCACTCTTTTATAGCATGAATAACTTTGATTTTATTTAAGGCTTGAGTTATTCAAATTAAAAACTCGGCCTAAGTTTGTTTGGGCTTTAAATTTACGATATTATATAGCTTTTTTTTTTAGCTATATATATCAAGTTACAGAAAAAAAATTCAGTTTTCTTCGTAATTACCAAGTTTGTGGATGAACATACATTATCTAAACCTAGTTTTCTTGGTAATTACTAAGATTGTGGTTGGACAATACTTAAACTTAGTGTTTTTGGTCTAGACTCGACTCTAGTTGCCTATACTCGAGCTAATTATTATGAGTTTTGTTAATTAATTAGTTTTGTTATTGTGACATATTTTTATTTATATGAAAAGAGTTGATATTGTTACTATTATTATTAGTGTATTTTTTTTACATGAGCTTAATTAATATATATATTACTGTTCAAAATTCATTAGCAAAGCTTTTGGGATAACTAATCAACTTAAATTTAATTTATTTACCAAATATTTTATACATTTTTTTGTTTAGGGAATGTTTTTGTGTTAACAAATTTCTCTAGTTAATTAGTTTATATATATAAACATTGATTTGCTAATTAACTTGAGCAAATCGAGATCGATTTTGGTCAAAACTCAACTTAAATTGTCTTGTTTCAAAGTCGTAACCTTAATGATCACGAGTTTAGCAAGCTATAAGTCACTCACCTCGTTAATTTTTTTTACCATTACTAATACTTAATATCATTAGTAATGACTATCATTTCGTTGAGCGAACTAATAACTATCATTACTATCATCACCTCGTTGAGCGAACTAATTACTGTCATCACCTCGTTGAGCGAACTAATGACTATCATTACTTATACGTAATATCTTTTTACCAAGTAATACTATGTTGATTACTAGGGATTTTAATCGAGTTGTGTAAGTCGAGAACAACTCGGTCCTTGTTCTGTCAAAACTTGACTCGATAAGCTCATGAGTAGCTCGATAATTACCAAGATTGTACGTGGTTGGACAATATCTAAACCCTGTCTTCTTGGTAATTAACAAGATTGTGGTTGGACATTACCTAAAGTTCTAAACCATGTCCTCTTGTTAATTACCAAGATAGTGGTTGGACATTACATAAACCTAGTTTTCTTGGTAATTACCACGATTGTTGTTGGACATTACCTAAACCTAAGTTCTTGGTCTAAACCCGACTCTAGTTGCCTATACTCGAGCTAAGCAAGCTATAACTCGGCTCGATAACTCTCTTAAAAAAAAAAACAAAACCATTGAAGTAATAAATGGGACCTACCGCCTTAAAACTCCAGACAGTAGGCGGCTGCCAGAATTTCGAATGTAGACAACTTGAAAAAGTACTACTTCTGAGATTTGTAAACTTTTGTAAATGAAAAGCTTATCAATGACAAAGTTGCCTTTTGTTTTCAAACCTGTTGTTTAATATATATATATATACATACATATATATATATATATATATATATATATATATATATATTCCTATGTCTAAAATAGGAACTAGGAACTCATCTGTACCATTGATCGCGCTTAATCCAACGGTCCTTGCTTCACCCGCCATTTTCATTTCAATAATATCATTTTGGTAATTTCTCCACTTTGAATGACCTCCTTTCTTTCTCTCTCTCTCTTCCTTTCATTTTCTCTCTCTACGCGTCCTCATTTTCCCTCTCTAACTTTGTGCTCTCCGTCGCGATCTGAGTTCTTCATTTTATCAAATTTTTTGCCCAGATTTTTTGATTTTATTCTTCAATTACATCATATTCTTCGATTATTTTCATTCATTGAGGTAATTTTCTTATTATATTTGTATTTTTTCTCAATTATTTTGATTTCATTGTTTGTCTTGAGCCGAGTTTTTCGATTTAGGGTTTTTTATTGTAATTTTTCGAAATTTTTACTTTTTTTTTGTTCTTTGAATTATTCTATACAAATTAGTGTTTGATTTTTGATTTTTAATCCTATTTTATGGTTTTACACTTACGGATTCAATGTAGTTGTTTTCTGCATATAGTTGCTATATTGCATGCTGTTATTAATCTAGTAGTATAATTTGTTGTTGTTTTAAATTTACTTTTTGCATTCAGTCATTAAGTTTTCATGATTAGTTTTACTTAATTCTTATAACTTCATGTTTTTTAGTTTATTCAAGTTTTTTAATTTTTTTTTATTTATTTTATGCTTTGAGTAATCTACTTTTTAGTATATCTTAAATAGTTTTTATTAGTATATTTTTTAAAAATATTGTTTTCTTTTAGTTATAGTTTATTTACTTTTAATTATTGTTTATTTACTTTTTACTTCTATTCATTTACTTTTCAGGAATATGTCTGAAAGCGTAGAGCATATTTTTTAAAAAATATTGTTTACTTTTAGTTATAGTTTATTTACTTTTATATATTGTTTATTTACTTTTTTCTTCTATTCATTTACTTTTTCAGGAACATGTCAGAAAGTGTAGAGCATTGTTCTTCTTCTGTCACTACTGAAGATAGCAATGTAAGAATTTTCAAAACACCTACTCAGCCTTTGCTTCCTAAAATATATTATAATTCTAGAGGTGATAAAGAGTATATGCCATGTTGTTCTTCTGAAAACAAACCTTTTCTTGGTATGATATTTGATTCTCTTCAAGATGGTATTGCCTTTTATTACAAATATGCTAATGAGCGTGGATTTAAAGTCCGTTCTAGTACTACTAAATCACAAAAGAATAAGGATGATCCTACTGGTAAAGGAGTTACTTTAATAAAATATTTATTATGTAGCAAAGAAGGGTATGTGACAAATAACAAGAAATCTGGTAAACAAGTTGAAGGTGCTTGTTTAAAGAGAAAGACTATGAAGAGAGTTGGTTGTCCTGCTAAGATAAAATTTAGGTTTTGTAATGATGGGAAGTATATGGTGTATTGTTTTTATGAATCTCATTCTCATCCTTTTTCTACACCTATTACTAGGCAAGTTACTAAACATGAATTTGGTTTAAATTTTGCTCATAAGAAGTTCATTTTTGACAATTCAAAGTTAAATATAGGGGTTGTTATGTCTTATAGGATCATGAAAGAACTTTGTGGTGGGTTTCAAAATGTCAGGGGCAGTAAAAATGATTTCAAAAATTTTTCTAGGGACTTGAAAGTTTATATCTCTAATGCTGATGGTGCGATGTTTGTTCAGAACCTTGAACAAAAAGTGAAAACCAGTAAAGGGGGTTATTTTTTTGATTACTGTGTTGATGAAAGTAAGCATTTGACCCGTGTCTTTGGGTTGATGCTCTTGGTAGAAGAGATTATCAATTATTTGGGGACTCTTTATCTTTTGATTCCACCTATGATACAAATAAATATTCATTGATTTTCTGTCCTTTTACTGGTGTTGATAATCACAAGAGATGTGTTACATTTTGTGCTGCTCTATTATCTAAAGAAGACATAGATTCGTTTGTTTGGCTATTTCAAACTTTTTTGAAGTGTATGGGAAGAGAACCTTCTTGTATTATCACTGATCAAGATCCTACAATAGGTATTGCCATAAAAAAGGTTTTTACCAAGACTAAACATAGGCTATGTATGTGGCACATAATGAGAAAGGTACCTGAAAAGGTTGGAACTGATTTTTGTAAAGAAACTGATTTCCTGAAAAGCTAAGTGCAGTAGTTTGGGATAGAGAGATTGATCTTCATGTATTTGTTGATGGCTGGAATAGTGTTATGGAGGAGTGTAACCTTGTTGATCATGAGTGGTTTGCATACATGTTCAAGATTAAACATATTTGGATTCCTGCATATTTTAGGGACTTATTTATGGGTGGGTTACTGCGTTCTACATCTAGGTCTGAAGGTGAAAATAGTTTCTTTTGTAACTTTACAAACCCTCATGTGACTTGTGTTGAATTCTTTGTTCGTTATGAAACTGCGCTTGATACTCAAAGGCATGAACAGGATGAGTTGTACAGGCTTAATAAACTTGAGCCTCAATTGATTACTAATTTACACTTGGAAAAGCATGCTGCTGATATTTATACTCGTGCCATATTTTATGATTTTCAAGAAGAATGTCAGGGATCCTGTTTTTTATGTGGAGTTGAAAGTTGTAGTTCTTTGTATGGAGACGGTGTGAAGTTTTCTGTTATTGTTGATCATGAGAAAAGGAAAAATTTTGTTGTTAATTTTGATTTGGCAACATATGAGTCAAGTTGTACTTGTAGAATGTTTGAGAGTCAAGGTGTTTTATGTAGACACATTTTGTTTGTTATGAAAGGCAAGTGTGTACGTGAAATTCCTGATGCTTACATCTTGAATCGTTGGAGAAAAGATGCATTGAAGAAAGCTTCTGTCATAGATGTTGCTTTAGATGATGCTTCTAAGTATGATAAGAAGAAGCAATTGGTCAGTGATGTATGGTCCAAGATTTTTAGTTGTGTCAGTTTAACTGATCAATCTGAGGATGATTTATCAGAGCTTATTAAGACATTATCTTCATTTGAGGAGCAGATGATATCAAAGAATAATCCTGAAAATGCACCTAGTTCAAAAGAGGTGAAAGATGCTGATATTCAGGTTTTGGTTGGGTCAAATAAAGTTGATGTAAATGCCTTGCCTCAAAATCAGTGTCTTAATAAGGGTTCTGCCAGAAGTTCAAAGAGTTTGAAGAGTGCAAAAGAAATAGCTACTAAAGCAAAATCTAAAAAAGGCAGAACTTGTATAGCTTGTGGGAAATCTGGTGTTTCCCATGACAGTAGAAACTGTCCAAACAAGTAGTCTTTCAGGTATTTTACTCTTAAGTGTGTTCTATTTACTTTAAACTTCTATTTATTTACTTTAACAGTAAATTCATTTACTTTTTATTTTGTGCAGGTGTTATTATACTTGGTATTTTTTTATTTGGTATTTTACCTCTTTACCTTTTTTATTTACTTTAGGTTTCAATTTATTTACCTTACATTTTAATTTATTTACTTTAATTTGTAACAAATAACTAATGTTTATTTTTGTGCAGTTATTTTAATACTTGGAAATTAGAAGATGTTTTGGAAGATCAAGATGAAGATTTAATGAACAAATTTTTTTCTATTATTTTTATTAATGTAATATTTTTACATTTACTATAAGTAACTGTACTGCAGAACTTAAGTTTAGTTTGTTTACTTTTAGCTTTTAACTTTATGAAATATTTCATTTACTTTTATCATATTTTATATCATATGAATTATTTGATTTATGTAATGTTCTTACTTACAAAATTAAAGATAATTGCTTGTATTATTCCCTTTCTTCTAGAATACTAGTTACCATATCCATTTTTTGTTCTAAAATACTTGTCACATTTTTCGTGGAACCCGAGTTGACAAGAGTATTTGATACCAATTTTGAACATGAATTAACGTGTAAATGACCTGACCCAAATGTAACCCATATATTATTGACTTGTTGATTTCAACTTGATTGTAACTCGTAAAATTATTGACTTGAACCAATTTGACTAAAATTCTAGAATGAGTTAATTTTCTAACCATTAATTATTGACTTTACTTGAATGTAATTTGACCTGTTATCAAAATCTCCTAAACTTGTAGTAAATCAGATACCGATTTTGAATATGAATTGATGTTTAAATGAGCCGACCCAAATGTAACTCATATATTACTGACTTGGTGATTTTATCTTGATTATAACCTGTAAAATTATTGACTTTAACCATATTTGACTAAAATTCTAGATTGAGTTAATTTTCTAATCATTAATTATTGACTTTACTTGAATGTAATTTGACCATTTATTAAACTCACCTAAACTTGTACCAAATCTAATAAGATGTAAGGCCGGTTGTAATTCGATCAACATAGGCCGGATGTTAGCGAGGCAAATGAAGTAGAAGACTTGACCCATCTTCAGTTTGTTGTATGATCACATTTTAGTTGGTTAAACACTTCAGGTCAAACACTTCGGATCATGTTCGAATTGGTTAAACACTTCGGGTCAAACTCTTCAAGTCAAATTCAAGTTGGTCAACTTCGGGTTAGGTGAGTTCGAGTATATGGTCAACATTAGGTCAACTCCATTTTTGTCTTGGTTATAGGTTGTGTTGGGTTAATTTTGGGTTTTTTGTCATTTTTTGGGTTAATGATTTTGGGTCATGCGTCGGGTCATTTGAGTTAGGTCAACTATTATTACTTGAATACTTTTATATCCCATTTTCTATTAATTTAACAGTATTTTTTTTGTACTTAAAATTGAACACCTTATTTCATAAAGATTTTTTTAAAACTTTTTTCCTTTTACTTTAAACATAATATTATTTACTTTAACATTTTTTTCATTTACTTATAATCGAATAACATTTTTTTGACTTTAATACTTTTTCCCATCTCCACCTCTACTTTTAATTCATTTTTTTATTACTTTAAATGTATTTGTCTCTACTTTAAAATCGAAAACCACATTGCAGAAAAAAATTTTTAAAAAACTTTTGTATTTACTTTAAACACATTGTTATTTACTTTAACAGTATTTACTTTACTTTTATATCTTCCATCATTTTTGAGAGAGAACAATCCTAGTAATTTAACTTAGATGTATAATATGTATTATTTTTTAACACAAACTGGAAATATTATATTAAGTGGCTAAACCCATAGTTTTAATTACAAATAGCATCACATAATTTTCACATTTATAATTGATGCTAACCAAAATAAGGCCTAATATTATACTAGACCTAATATCAACATAGGTTATTGTATTAATTTGATTAACCACCTTCAACTATGGATGTAAGTGAGGCAAATGAAGTACAAGATTTTATCCATCCTTAGATTGGTGTATTATGACATTCAAGTTGGTTAAACATTTCAGGTCAAACGCTTCGGATCATATTTAGGTTAAAGACTTCGAGTCAAACTCTTTGTGTCCAATTTGATTGTTCAACTTCGGGTTGGGTGATTTCGAGTGTGTGGTTAGGATTAGGTTAACTCAATTTTTGGGTCAAGTTTGGTTGGGTTAATTTTGGGTTTTGGGTCTTTTTTCGGTCAATGATTTTGGGTCAAATTTGAGTTATTCGGTTTGTGTCAATTATTTTGATTTGAATACTTTTTCTCATTTCTCCCTTTATTTAATTATAACCATTTTCAATTAAATTAACAATATTTTTTTGTACTTTAAAATTTTTTAAAAGTTTTTTCCTTTTACTTTAAACATTGTATTATTTACTTTAATAGTATTTTCATTTACTTATAACATGTTTTTTACTTTAATACTTTTTCCAATCTCCACTTCTACTTTTGATTCATTTTTATTACTTTAAAAGTATTTATCTTTACTTTAAAATCGAACACCATATTTCTGAAAGCTTTTTTTTTTAAAAAAAATTTCTTTTACTTTTAACATATTGTTATTTACTTTAGCATTATTTACTTTTACTTTTATTTGTATTATCATTTTTGAGAAAGAACAATCCTAGTAATTTAATTAACATATATAATATGTATTCTTTTTTTTACACAAACTGCAAATATTATATTAAGTGGCTAAAGCCATAGTTTTAATTACAAATAGCATCATATATTTTTTACATATATAATTGATGCTAACCAAAATTAGGCCCAATATATATACCAGATTGCAATACAACAGTCCTTGAAATTCATTTCCCTAAACCTGCACTAACCCAAAAGCTATTTCATCCATCACAAAAAAAGACCTAAAACTACAGAGACATAGTAGTAGCTACTGTGGCATTTCTTCAGATTCTTTCTTTTCTTCCCAATCCTCAACATTTGTTAGCAATTTCTGTTTCATTTGATTTTTTTCACTGAGAAGTAGGTCAAGCACTATTCTTACATGATGATGATTCAGTCTTGCAAATTCCTGTAAAAAATATAAATTATAATTAATTATACACTAAGTATAGATTAGTTCTAAAGTATAACGACTTCAAAAATAAGTATTTTAATTACCTCTGTTATTGTTCCTAATCCTATACCATTTGCACCATCATAAATCTTCATATGCAGCAGTAGATAGCTTGCTGAGAAGTTTTCCTCTCTTTCTTTTTGGAATGGAAGTTCAATTATTCTCAGCTTGTAGGTCAGTATATCATTTTCCTATGGATGCTTCCTTTTTTTAAACAACTTTTGCACTTGTATCACCTGCAATGCAATGAATATTAGTATAATAAAACATATTGAAAAATGAATTTAAAAATAATTTTTTAATTTACTGATTCTTTACCGTTTCTAAGATAAAACTTTGTATAGGCTCATATTCTTCATTTGTCTCATACAAAGTGATGTCTAGATGATCAATTGTTTCATCTTTAAAGTTTATCACAGCAAGAAAATAATGCTCTTCTAACCTCAAAGGAAAATATACCTGCATATAGATTTGTTTTATATATGGTTACTTTAAACCTGTTTTTAATTACTTTAAACATATATTGTTCTACTTCAATATTAATTTTGTCTTACACATTGAGCTGCATCCATGTCCAATGATTGTGAAATGTTCCAATCAATCCATAGCTTTTGCAGAATTGTTACTCCCTTTTTTCCATTAGCATTCAAACACATTGTTAAAGCATCCTTTAAAAAAAATCCAATTATTATTTCTAATATTTATTTAATGTAGAATTTTAAATTATAAAAGTTAATTTGAAAAACTTACCATGAAGTCAAATCCAAAAAAGTATCTGACCAAGTCATTTTCAGACCTGTCTCTTTCCATTTCAAAGTTATTTAGGTGGTTTGACTAAGCAGTGATCACATTACTTGAAACTTTCCATTCATTGAGCAAAGCATTACAATCTTGCCTTACTATTTCAATTGAATCTATAAACCAGCCTACTACTTTGCTGTAATGTAGAATTAAAGTTAAAGTTAAACTTATGCCAAACAATTTTATATATAATGCAATATGATTATTTGTTTTTCAGGAAGTATAAAACATACCTCTTGTTTGGAAAGTTTTCACCATCATTGATTGCTAAGTAGTCAATCACTTGGTGACATTGCAAACTCATGTTATGCATTACTTTGGAAATTTTTTTGGAAATTTTTTTCTCAAGTTGTTTTCTTTTTGTGTTTATGTCTGCCAAAGAAAGAGCAACACATATTTCTGCACGATACACCTTTCTCCTATTTGCTAAATCAAGGTCAGAATCAAAAGTCTCTCTAGAAAAACACAACATATGGATCATTGCAAAAACACCACAATCAAGAGTATATCTTGGTGTCTTCCACTTGAAGTTAACTTCATCAAACTCATATTCAAGAATTTCATCAACTTTTTCATGATTAATTCTTTTCAGAAAGTTTGACATTTCCTCCACCTTTAACATTTGCAAAGCAATATATAAGTAAAACAAATTTATAGTATAGTTATTTTAATAAACATATGATTTACTTTAATTAAAACATCTATTACTTTATATTTTATATTTTATATTTTATATTATATATTTATAGGAAATACAATGTGTACTTTTAATAGCTATTCTTTAACTTTAATAACAATATTATCTACTTTAATCAGAACATCCTTTACTTTATATATTATCTTATGTTTTAACTGTCATTATAATCTATACTTTTAATACATATTCATTTACTTTTATAGTATTCTTATTTACTTTAATAATTTACTTTTTATAAACAAAAAAAAATCTTACCACAATAGATCCAAGAATTCTGTAGAAAGACTTGTGCCTGTCATCATACTCCCTGTTATCCAAGTATTGAATGGTCTGATTCATAAAGTTAACCACT